TGGTGGGGGGGGGGGGGTGGGATGCGCGCGTGTTTTTCACACGAGCAGAACGGGTGTAGGCAGCGACTTTAATTCTTCTGCCCATGGCTACAGCTTTGGGGGGAAAAAAAAACAACAAAAAAAAATCTCCTCTCGCTGCTGCTCTCCCCATGTGAATCATGAGCGGAGAGGGAGGAGGGCCGTGGGTGTGGGTGCGAACGCATGGGCTGCGGCGTGGGGCTGCTCACGGGAGCGTGCACGCCGGCAGGAGGGGGATGCGTGTGTGTGTGTGTGTGAGTGTGCACAGAGCGGGCACAAGGCAGCGAATTCCCCTTACGATTTTGGTGCCGGAGAATAAAATCCCCATATTTTGTGATGGGGGCATCAATCGTGTGCCCCCCGGGTGCGTGTTCGCTCGCTGCCTCCCCAGGGCAGCTCAGCCCCTGTCTCCCGGGGGAGACGAGAGCTGCAAAAATAGGGGGGGGCTTGTTTCTTCTCTCTGCAGGCAGTTTGCTGGGCTGGCCTGGGAACAGAGCTGGCAGCGTGGGGAGCCCCCACCCCACCCTGTGTGTCACAGGGTCATGGGCAAAGCTGGAAAACCCTCAGTTTTGGATATTGAGGGGGCTGCCAGGGCGGGCATCAAAGGGTTCTCCCCAGTACAACGCACGCTGATCTTCCTGGGGCTGGGGAGAAGGAGATGGCCCCACTGGGGAGCAGGTAGATATGGTGAGAGGAGGTGTGGAGAAGGTTGAGTGGGCTCAAATCAAGCCCCCTTGCAGCTGGTGAACCCCCCCAGCCCATTTATGGGTGCCTGAGCAGGGACCTCCCCTGCTGTGAGGGTTTGGACTGTCCCTCTGTGTGATGCCATCCATGCAGATATTTCTATGGCTGCAGAGGTGCTTCTGCCTCTGGGGACAAGGAAAAGTGGGAACAAGGATGGACATCAGCTGCTTCTCCAGGGCAGCAAAACCCACTGCCCTGGGGATCTTCGCCCACCCCAGCGCAACCCAAGCTTTTACTTTGCAGCAGTTTCCCCTGTTCTGGGCTGCTGGGCAGGAGCTGATCCCCCAACTCTTGAGCTGATCTCCCCCCAGTTTGGAGCAGAAGGTGCCATCTGAAAGCTGGGTCCCCTCCAGCCACTCTGGACCAAAGCTCCCACTCCCTGGGGAGGGGACAACTCTGCAGCCCCTCCAAGGAGCAGAGGCACCAGGTCAGCCCTAATGCCACCCCCCAGCTGCCACATCGCCTCCATCACGGTGGGCACCGAGCCGCCTAATGAGGGGCTTAATGAAGATTAGTGGCGGCCCTTTGCTGTGCTCTGTGCTGAGTGGGGCTGGGGATGCCAAGGGTTGGGGGGCGAGTGGGCTGCGGGTGCGTGGCCAAGACCCATGCCCACTGGTGGGGGTGCTGCCAGGGTGTCCCCACCTGCCCAGTAAGCACCAGCAGATGGGTGCGACGTCTCGGGTGGGTGAGCGTGGGGGGGGCTGCAAGCTGCTTGTGAGAGAGAGGAACATTTTTATGGTGGTGGGTGTTTGTGGGTGCACGGGGCTGGCCGGCGCTGCCAGGGGTCTGTGGGGCTGTGGTGTGCACTCAGCCAGTCCTGGGGTGTCCCAACCCCACAGGACACCTCCCCAGCGATGATATCCCACCCCCAACAAGGATGAAGCAGGGTCACAGCTCCCCCAGTGCATGTGGGTGCATGCAGGGGGAGATGGGGGATGTCTCCCATCCTACCCCGTGGGGGGAGCTGCACTGCCCCCCCCCACCTTCCACGTCAGCCCCCCCTCCCCAAACCGCCCCCATGTTTCCAAAGCAACGGTTTGCAGAGGGGCGAGCAGCGCTGAGCCCCGCAGGAGGCGAGGGGGGGGCGGATGAGCCGAATATCGCCAGCCATCTGGCTGCTGGGGTGGGCCTGTGCGGCCCCCCAAATTCTGAGGAGCGGTGGGTGCCCCCCCCACACCCTCCCCAGGGCTGGGGTGCTCACCGGGTCCCAGGATCCCACCCAACTGAAACCCAGATCAGCGAGGGGGGGGCTGCGCCTGGTGCTTTGCTGTTCCTGCATCCCTGGGGGTGTCCACAGCTGGAAATCAATCTGTGGCTCGGCAGGACTTTTGGGGCAGAGATGAAGCTGGCTCTGTCCCCTCTGCCCAGGGCTGTGTGTCCCCATCACCCATGGGGACAGGGAGCACAGTCTGCTCCCCCTTTCCCATCCCGTCCCCCCCAGCCCCAGACACAAGCCCAGGCTGTTGGAGGGCGGCCACCATTGGGGCTGGCTCACCCCTGGGGACAATATAATGTCCCAGTGGGGGGCTGCCAGCTTGATTGGCCGCATCCTGCCTCTCCCCTCGGCCGTGCCAAGCCCCTCTGTGCAGCCCCCCCCTCCTCTCCATGCATTAAAAGCCCAGCAGCCCTTCCCCAGCCAGTGCACGAGCCCCCGGGAGCAGAACAGGGCTCTCCCACGCCGAGGAAGAGGGGAAAGGGGGTACGTCCACGCTGTCTTCTTTCTGCTCCTCCAGTGCTGAGCAGACCCCCACTGGGCTGGGGTGAGCTGTGGGGCTGGGGGGGGTCAGGGGCCGGCGATGTGTTGGGGGGGCTCATTGCATTCCTAAAGGTTTGATCTGTGGGAAACGGGCAGAAATTAGGGGTGCAAAAGCTCCGGGCTGGGTCATTGCTTTTGCCTTTGGTTTGGGAGAGATATGTGGGAGGCTGCTGGGGGCTGAGCCCCCCCCAGCCTGCTCCACTGTGGGTGTGCAGCGTGTTGGGTGGGTGATGCTGTGGCACCCAGTGGGTGCTGGAGACCCATCTGCAGGGACCAGCTTCGGGTGGGAGTGAGCTCCCTTTGGGAATGGATCCCAGAGCCGGGGGGTCCCTTGTGCTCAGGGTCGAGTCCTCTGGTCCCCCCCCCAGGGCTGGCTTCCCCGGGATGCTGGAGGCTGAGAAACAGCATCTCAGGGCTTTGGACCCAGGCGTAGGAGCAAGGGGGACCAAAGGAGAGAGTGCTATGACTCCTGGGGTCCTTTCTGCTTTGCTGTTGGGTTTACTGGGCCAGCCACCAGCTTTACCACCGCCTTGAGGGGCTGGAGCAGGACCCTGACCTCCATCATCACCTCCCAGCTCCCTCACTGCCTCCTCGGGGCTGGGAAAACCGGGAAGAGAGGGCAGCCCAGCCTGGCCGTGGGGCCTCTCCTGCACAGCCCTCCAGCCGAGCGTGAAATGGGCTGAAAAGAAAAGGGACGGCGTAATGTTCCCGGGGCCGGGGTGGGGGAGGCCATTTGTCCCCTGTGGTGGCCGCAGTCCCCACCACGGCTACAGAGCGGGGCTGGTTGTGGTCTCTGTGTTGGTCCTGCCTTCCCGTCCCTCTTCGTTTTCACCTCTTTGTCACCATTTCAGGGCACCCGGCCCCATCCTGCCCTACTTTGCTGGATCTGCTGGACCCCTGGGGCTGTGGTCCCCAGGGTTGCTCTGGGAGCAGTGTCCCCGTCAGGGTACAGGATGCGTACCCTGGCCTGGCTGGGCATCGCCAGCCTGTGTCTGGGGGCAGCTTGGGCTGTCCCAGCCAAGGAGGAGAGGAGGAAGGCAGAGAAGCTGAAAGCTGACCTTGCACTCTACGAAAACCTGGACCTGGACAACTATGACCTGACTTTGGACAACTATGGCGAGATCCTGGACCTGAGCAACTATGAGGAGCTCTACGACTACGGTGACCTTGCTCCGAAGGTGAGGGGGACGCGGGAGATTAGGTCTTCCCTGGATGCATCCTCAGGAAGGGGCTTGTTCCATGGGATGGATGAGGCACAGTTGGAGAACCAGCCTCTTGCACAAGTCTACAAGCCCTGGTGGCTCTTCCACCGCTCTTACTGGTGGTAGGAAAGGCTTTGCCCAACCCTGACCTCCTCTGGCTTCCTTGTCCCCTGCCAGTGCCTGGCCAGAGCATCGCTGCAGGGGTGGCTCATGCTCAGGATGAGAGGAACCCGGGACAAGAGTCTTCCCACATCCCTCTGGGCAAATAGGGAGGGTGTTTTCTGAAGCCCTGAGCTAGGAGAGCTCTCTGGGGAGGAGCTGCCTTTCCAACAAGACCTACCCAGTGCCCTTGACCCCTTGACCAGTGCCTCCTGCCCTGGAGAGGAGTGGGAGGACTCACTCGGCCACCCCAGCCCTGATGCCCAGGCTGTGTTTGCAGATCGAGGTTGGCACCCTGGCTCCTCGCCCCAAGGATCCCACAGCTCTCCCAAACCAAGGTGCCACGGCTGAACCCCCAAAGCTGCAGCCTCCGACCACCTCCAGCCCCATCAACCCAGCACCCGTCCCCGCGCAGGGTGAGTGCAGACCCCTGGGAGCAGCACGAAGGTGGGGTTGGGTCCCCGTGGGATGCAGCCACGGGTCCCAGGGGTGGTGGGACCAGTGCTCTGGAGAAAAGGGGAGCAAATCCTTGTGCCACCAGCAGACAGCAGCAGCTATTTGCTCTGCCCGGGGTGTCGGGGGTGCGCCTTATCACACAGCAGGCAGGAGGAGACATTTCTGGGAAACGAGAGCTCCAGCAAAGCAGCAACATTTTAATGAGCAGAGGCATTGCGACAGTCGGACAGAGTAGCAATTAGATTAGTGACAATTAAAATCCTGTAGCGAGGGATAAATATCTTTATTCATTTTCTGTCACTCTGGACTGGGACAAATTAAGTAGGAGGCAAAGGGAAATTGTTGCCTTGCTGCTTTGAACTCCCCCACTAATGGATGCTGAGTCTGGCGGGCGCTGGGGGGAGAGGGGAGGGAGCATGTGCATGGGGGGGGGGACACGGCTCTACCCCTCCTGTCCCCCCAGCCCAGCTTGCTGGGACCCTCACTCAGCCGAGACACATGTTTTTGCTGTATGAAAAACTGTTTTCTTCTGTTCCATTTCGTTCTGTGGAAGAAAATAAGGGGGGGGCCAAGCGAGCCCTGGGTGTAACGCTGCTGTGCTTGGCAACCTCGTGTCTCCCCCCCTCCCGCGGGAGGTATTTGGCCCTGAGCAGCTTCATTTATTAGCAGCATTTTGGGCTGGGAGTTTCTGGCCCTTCCCTTGTCCCTTGATGAGGTGCCCTGGGCTGTTTTGCTGATGAGGGTGGTGGGGATGTCCCCCCACCCCGTCTCCCTGCATGCTGGGGTGCTTTTTGGGGGGGATGGGGAAGCCATGCCATGCCACGGGCCACCTCTGCACCCCCAGCCCTGCCCAGCTGCCTGCTCTGCCTGTGCATCGGCACCTCCGTCTACTGCGACGATGCCAACCTGGAGCACATCCCGCTGCTGCCACCAGAGACCACCTACCTCTACGCCCGCTTCAACCGCATCGGCACCATCCGGGCCAGCGACTTCATGGGGCTGAGTACGTCCAGGCAAGGGATGGGGCAGGTTCTGCAATGGGGCACATGGGGGAAATAAGCAGTTCTGCACAGATCCCTCTTCATCCCCTTCCTCCTCTCTCCCACCAGAGAAGCTGAAGCGAATAGACCTGACCAGCAATTTCATCTCCTGGGCGGACGTGGACGCCTTCCGCCTGCTGCCCAGCCTGCAGGAGCTCATCCTGCCCGAGAACAGGCTGACAGCTCTGCCCGAGCTGCCCCGCAGCATCATCCGCCTGGATGCCCGTCTCAACAGGATCCCCAGCACTGGCCTCCAGCCTGACGCTTTTCGGGTGGGTGCTGGGTGAATCCGGGCTGGTTTTAGCCCAAACCTGCCAAGCCAAGGGGTAACGGGGGTGATGCAAAGGGCTGGAGCAGGGCTAGGAGCAGGGAGGTTTATCTCTTCCCCTCTCCCTGCAGGAGCTGAAGCAGCTGCAGTTTCTCCATCTGTCCGATAACCAGTTGGACTATATCCCAGCACCTCTGCCCCAGAGCCTGCGCTCCCTGCACCTCCAGGTGAGACAAGCCCGGACCCAGGCTTGTCTGTACCTGAGTCTAGCAGATTCCACCACCATTTTCTCTTCCTCCTCCTTTTCCTCCTCCTCCCCCCCGCCCCCCCATCCCTTTGACTCTGATTTTGCCCTTTTCCTTCCCGGCCAGAACAACAACATCCAGACCATGCACGAAGACACCTTCTGCGACAGCCACGACCACAGCCAGATCCGCAGGGCACTGGAGGACATCCGCCTGGACGGCAACCCCATCAACCTCAGCCTCTTCCCCAACGCCTATTTCTGCCTGCCCCGCCTGCCCACGGGCCGATTCTACTGAGCCCCACGGCCCCAAGGCCAAGAACTGAGGGCAAGTGTCCCCAGATCCCCACCTCGGACCCTGCTGCCCCACGGAGAACGTGGGGTTAGGGCAGGTGCATTGCACCTTGGTGTGAGCTGAGGCTCTGTGTAGGGGTGAGCTCAGTTCTGGGGCAAACGGAGCAGGAGGTGGGCAGCTTTAATAAAATGAAGACTTTAAAAACGCATTCAGTGTTTTATTCTCAACAGTGAGAGCAATGGAAAACCCTCTCACAGCCCCAGCCCAGCAGCTGCCCTGTGAACTGTGCTGGTTTGCAGACACAGACGCTTCCCCATGTCCCACTTTTTCCTTGATTCCCTCCCAGAACCTTGGGAAGACCCCTCTGTGTCTGCTTTCAGGGTTTACTGGCCAGAGACTGGGAGCTGCCTTGCTCCAGAGAGGTGATGCTTTGGCCACATCAGGTTTCACCTGTGTGATGGGGCTGTCCCCTCAGCTGTCCCCAGGTCCATCAGGTGGGTCTGCGTGGCTCTGGAAGAGTGTTGGACACCCAGGTACGAGCTGTGGCTCTCGCTGGGCTGTCCCCATATGCTCCAAAAGAGGATTCAATAGGAAACCCCAGCACAGGGCAACTGGGCTCCTCCATCACCGCACCCCAGACCCACTGCAGCCCCACGGCCCCTTCTCTGGGGGGACCCCGACCCCCTCTGGGACTGGGAGTTGTCCTGGTGCCAAGTGGGGTCTCCAGCATGAGCTCTGCCCAGAGGGAGGGTGTCCCCAGGTTTGGTTCTGCTTCAGCTGTGGAGAAAGGCTGGGACAGCACCGGAGCCTGGGAGCCAAACGGCCCCGGGTCCAGCAGGAAAGAATCACTCAGAGGTAGTTAAAATATCTTGTATCATCCCAGCTTTCAACACCCGAAAAGAGCTGCCCAGTGGTGAGATATTTTAAATATAATGTATTCATCCTCTATATTTTTATACACATGTAACAAACACGCATACCATGAGAGGGATGACACATCCCTGGAGAATCCAGAATCCTGAACTGAAACCACTGAGCTCAGCCCACATCCTCCAGGCCCAGGGAGGCAAACTAAGGCAGCTGGAGGAAAACCTCGCAAGAAGATCCAGCTCCTCAACTGGGACACACTGGGAACCCCACTGGGTGCTGGTACCTGCCTCCTCGGCATCGCACGGGCACGAGCATCCCAGCAGCGGGTGGCACAGGGCATGTGTGTGTGTTCACCACATCTTTACCTTTCTTTTCCATGCAAAACCCGACTCAGATATGGATTATGTTCATCCAAAAGCCAGGGCCCTTCGTAAATGGGAATTTGGAGCTGTTCCAGCCTTTCCTTTCGGGCTAGATCTAAAATGCCAGGATTTATTAGCGCTGTTGTCATGTCAGCCTCGAAACAGCTGTGTCTATCCAGCCCCTGTCTGTCTATCCCCGCATCTCTCCTCCTTCCCCATCCATCCTTCTGACACCTTCGCACCCTCCTTTGCCCCCAGGGTGATCTCATCTGCTCCGGTGGGATGATCCATCGCTGTGAGCCAGGCTCTGCTCCAGAGGGATGGAGTTGGCCAACGTTTCCCAACGGCGAGCCCCGGTCCTTCGCGTTCGTCCCACTAGATGGCAAGGCAGAGTGTTGGGAAATGCCTGACCTTAACTTCGGACTGCAAACTCCCTCTCTGCTCTTTCCCTCCCTTCTGGGGTGGTTTTAGAGTTCCTTGAGCATGCCCATGCAGCTGGGGAATAGCCCAGGTGCTGCGTGTTGGCAGAGAAGGGATTTAAACGAGCTGCAGAGGGGAGAGAGAAGGGTTTGCTTCCTGGGGGAGGAGAGTGAGGTAGGTGGGGAGATGTCTCTGGGGGCAAAGGGGCTGCTGACTTGGAAGAAACCAAGCTTTTCTAAGAGTATTGGGGTTGTTCTGGGAGGGGTTTGCTGGGGGAGAGCTGAGATGCAGCAGTGCTGTGTGGCTCTCAGGTCCCCTCGCACCCCTGGGAGCGGGGGATGAGCTGGGGCAGCAGGTCTTCCCCTTCCCCAAAGCCCTGGAGGGGGCTGCTGGGGTCTCAGCCCTGTTGTTCTGCTGGCTCAGTTATTCACTGTGCTCTTGTGTCCTCGCTGCTGCAAGGGTGTTGGGGGGAAAGAAATCAGCACCTTTCTTTGCAGCATCATGTAAGGAAAAGCAGCCCCTTTCAGCTGCTGGCCCCACTGCCCATTCCCACCCACCATCCTCCCATAGGGGTGTCCCCAGGGTCTCCCTGAGCACCCCACTGGGGCTGGAAGGAGCCTGCCCTGGAGCAGATGTGGAGGCACAGAGCCTTGCCTGGGGCTGGAGACGGCAGTGGGCATTAGAAGGGCTCTGCTGATCCCTCCTGCCAGCGGGACAGTCCTGCTCCAGCCCAGCTTGGCAGCACGTCCAAGACCTGGCCACATCCTCTGCCCACTTCCCTGTGTCCCTGAGGCTGTGTCTGGGCAGCTGGCAATCCTGGCTCCTCTCCATCCCCTGATGTCTGCAGCTCTACCCAGCTGAGGGGCAGGGTCATCTCCTGCCCTCGGGGACCTGCCATCTTAAAGCCATTTTTGTGGTGGAGGATTGCACAGCCTGTCCCATGCATATATGAATGGAAGGGATGGTGCATCTCTGCTGAGATACGTGTGCTGCTTCTGCCAGCTGGCCAGGGGCAAACGGGGCCAGCAGACCCACTGCAGGCACATGGGGCCAGGCAGCAGCAGGGGAAGGAACAGAGCAACCAGAGAGAGATGAATTAGAGCAGGGCCTGTGTTAGAAGCCGTGAGCTGGAGCTGTGCAAAGGCATCACTCTGATCTTGGGAGCGTTTGCTGAGTAACAGCAGGAGCTGCGGGGCTTCAAAGTAGTCCGTGATGGGGAAACAGTGGCAGCTTCGTGGCTGGAGACGCTTAAATGATGTGGGATGGGGGGAGCACCAGGAGCAGCCCCAGTCAGAAGGGATGGATGAGACAAGCAAATGTGCCCAGACTGTTCTGTACGTGCAAGGAGCTGCCTCCCCCTCGGTACAGGGTGTGCAGGGATGGACAGGGAGGAGCAGACTAACTCCAGGCACCAACCTCCCTCCTCTCATCCCCTCCAGCTGGATCCACGCTGCCCTGTCCCCACGCACACAACAGGCTCTGCAGCAGCCGAGCAGAGGGCTCCTGATCTGCCTGTCCCTCTTGTTCCCCTCCATCCCTCCACTCTCACCTCCCTCCCTCCCTCCCTCAGAGATCGTCTCTGTGTGTAATTCATGCAGCTCTCCTCCCTCCCTTTCTCTGCTGCTCAAGGTCACCTTCCTCGCCTGGGCTGGATTTTCACATATCGATTGCTTGGCTCTAACAGCCAACATCTCGGTGAGCTCCCAATCTCACGCCAGCTCAGCATCTTGCCACTCTCTGGGAGAAGCATCTCCATATGGGCCCCCAACCCCCCTCCTCCTCCATCCTGCCCTCCCCCTCCATGCTCTCCTCCCAGCCCTGGCCATGCATCATAAACTGGCACTAAAACAGAGATGGGGAAGTCCTCAAGCCCCAGAGAGCAGCAGCCTTCACCCTCCTCTGTCTCCTGGGGAGCATGATATGAACATGCCCCTTCCCTTGGGTTGATTTAGGAGGATCTGGGACAGCGTGTGACAACCTTGCAGGGACTGAGCGACCTACTACACCTGTCCACGAGCTGTGTCCATCCTCTTCTCAGGCTTCCTCCTGCAGGTCCTCATCCCCCAGTGGGAAAGGAGCTCCTCTCCCATCACCATGCCCATCCTTTCTTCCTGCTCCCCTCTCCCCACCCAGTTTTCTTCTCTGCTTCCTCCTGCAGGTCCTCATCCCCCAGTGGGAAAGGAGCTCCTCTCCCATCACCATGCCCATCCCTCTTCCCGCTCTCCTCCCACCAGCATGACCAGGAGCTCCCTGTGCCACGCTGGACCATGTCCCTTGGCCACCACTTGGGGACAGAGCCATCCTTTTCTGTCCTGTTGCTGCCTCTCAGCTGGGGCAGCGCAGGCAGCTTACTGCAGGGCTAGGGGGACCAGGTCAGGAGCAGAGAAGTGGTGGCTGGAATTAGGGACCTGGGACAGAAATGAGAGCAGCAGGAGGAGGATGGAGGCTCTCAGCCCTCCTGGCATGCAGACAAGTTGGAAAGAGGCCACAGAGATAACACAGGTTTCCCTAAACAGGACAGTGGCCATGTCTGTTCCAGCTCTGTCCCCACCAGAGCAGGTACCCGGTGGATTTATTGACCAAGTACAAAATCAATGGCAGGATGGAACAAAGGCCATTGAAGGGTGGATGCTGACAAGCTGCTGGCCTCCTCCGGACCAGAAATCACCCTTAAACACTGCTGGGGAGGAAGTGCTGTGGCCCAGCTTGCTCAGCGAGTGAGGCAGGGATGATAACAGCTTTATTTATAGCACTTAACTGGCTGTTGGCTCAGGGCACTGATTTGTGCTTAGCGTGCCATCGTTCAGGGCGGCTGTTTGTGCAGCTCGTGGCTGGAGAGCTCCAGCAGCTCTGGCCCAAGCCCTCGGTGAGCTCCCACCACCCGGCCTTGGGGCTGGACTTTGCCCAGGTTTGATGTGTCCCACTCCCCATCCCCAACCCAGGCAACTGCCTGGGGACCAGGCTCTCCCAGACTGACCAGAAACTCGTTTTCCTGCTTATATTTATCCAACATCTCATGTAGAGAAGTCCCAATGGGTGCCTTAGGGTCCGAGAGGTTGTGCATCCCTAACACTAATGGAGTAATTAATAGCAGCCAAGCTGGGAGAGCTGTGTGGCTGCTCATTTTTCAGATCTGCCCCTTTTATTACTTTTTTTTTATAATATTTTTAAAGGATCCCAGTGCTGGGATTCATTAGATGGGAGCTGCAAGGGCTCTGGAGATGAAAGGGCTGTTCATGAATTATCACTGGGGTGCAGACAGCTGCCCTGGCCCCTTCAGGGAAACTTGACAATGGAAATAGAAGAGGGAGGAGGGAAACAAACAAAAAAAAAAACCTGCTTGGGCTTTTCCTCTCCCCATTTTCCACTTCGCCACTGGAAAAAGGAGGAGGAAAAACACAGCAAAAAGGAAGAGAAAGAAAAAAAACACATTCTTTCCCTTCACACCCCCCTCCCCCCAAATTGTGAATGTTTAGCATCAAAATAATCTGTGGAAAAAATCAGCCCCCTCCCTGCAGCTGACTGTGGGTCTCCAG